GGCCTTCTAGAGCTTTCCTCCTACGTTCTCGGCCCCTGGGGCTGACCCTGCGGGATGTCTGGCCAGTGACCTAAGAGGGACCTTTGAGGGGGGAACGCAGGGAACCTCGGCCGTTGGCCATTTTAAAGGCCCAGATCCAGTGGTAGGAGTAAAAGTTTGACTTTGCAAATGTAGAATTAACTCAAGTCATCGAGAAAGTTTGCCCTTGATGGTTAATTACATTTATAAAATAATGTGTGTATACTGTTTTTGTATCAGATTGATCTTGTAGCTTTTGTTAGAGTGTGGCATGGACTGTTCAAATAGGTTTTGATGTTCATGTGACATTTTACAACGCCACCTCTCTTCCTTTGGTACCTGGAGGCTGGAGAGTCTCCGGGGCCGGCTCCTTAGAGCCCTGGGTGTTTGTTTACCTTTCCTCCTCATTTGTCCTCAGCTCCAAACTGCCAAAGTCTCATTAGATTTCCGAGTCAAATACTTTGAGCTGTGGGAGTTGCGTTCTGTGGCTGCTTTGTGTGTGTGAAATGTGTTTTTAAGAGACTGATCATCAGAAGGCATTTGGGCTCCACGGAAGTGTGAAGGGCACATCAGGCCTTTGTCTTGCACAGGAAAGATCCGCCCCAGTGGCTCTCCCAGACTGGAGGGATCTTGTGGGTTCCCAGAGGCACCATATATGGACTGACACCCCCCCCCCCCCCCCCCCGCGCGTCTTTGACTAAAGGGTTTTTTAGAGGGGTGTTGCCCAAAGTTTTGGACTGAATGTTTTCATGCTCTTAAAAGACCCCTCCCCCCCGTAAATTAGCATAAATGCATGGTTGGGTGTGTGTGTGTGTGTGTGTGTGTGTGTGTGTGTGTGTTTATTTATTTATTTATTTATTTATTTATTTTTTGCTTTTTCACCCAACCACTCAACCCTCCTTCCCTATTGATTTCAGAGAGGAAGGGAGAGAGATAGAAACATCAATGATGAGAGAGAATTGTTGAGAGCTGCCTCCTGCACGATGCTACTGGGAGTTGAGCCCGCAACACGGACATGTGCCCTGATTGGAAGTTGAACTTTGCCCTCCTGGTTCATAGTTAACACACAACCACTGAGCCACACCAGCTGGGCTGTTTATATTCTTAATGGAAAAAGTGTGAGTGGCACTTGCCATGGGAATTGCTTTGAGATTGAAGAGACAATATACTACTGAAGGTCACAGAAACCGACGAGGCCGTGGCAGTTTGGAATGGATTGTTTTGTGCCAAAGGCAGGATGGAGATGCTGCCAAGGACCACAGAGACATCTCTGAGATTGCAAGGGCTGCCCTGCTGTGGTGAGGCCGGGTGCGCCTGCAGGTCTATGATTTCAGTAAGGACTCTCCAAGCATGGTCTGCTTTGTGAGCACAGGCTGTGTGAGTGTGTGTGTTTCTCCTGCGTATCCCCATCCCCCCTAGGGTATGTCTGAGGACTATGCCCTCATGATCAAGTCCCCTGATTCCTGGGCAGGCACTGCTCTGCAGACCGTTGTCTTTGAACTTATGTAGGGCAGTAGAGCCTTTTCCTTCCCTCTCAAGATTGCTGAGGGCTGGCCTGGGATTGGCTGTGGGATTCTTCATAATTATAGTCTTCTTTTAGGGACCCACTATATTAAGCTGTAGATATTAACATTACTTGGGGATTAAATGTTTGCTTTTTAAAGTGGTTCTCTCTAGAGTTCCTTTAAATAGCTAGTTCTCCAGTTTCATTAAAATAGACTGTGATTCCTGGAGTTTGTTTTGTAGGAGTAGAGTCCTCATTAAGTCAGCACTGCCATAGTCCCTCTCCTGGTTCCTCCGAGGGAGCCGAGCCCCTCCTCACTGGGGATGCAGAGGGCTCACGTGGACCGAGTTCTACCAGGAGCTCATTTCTTTTCTCCTCTTTTCTTCCAGTCACCAGTATGCTTATTGAGTGCCTTTTATACAACTTTACACACTGCAGGTGGGCATACAGGCTTAGTGTAAGTGTAAGAGTTTGCCCCAGTTTCAGTGAGTTTGTACTTTTAGCTTTTTTCATTATTATTGAATTTATTGGGATGACATTGATTAATAAAATTTAAATAGGTTTCGGGTGTACAATTCCCTAATACATCACCTGTATATTGAATTGTGTGCTCACCACCCCAAGTCAAGTCTCCTTCCATCACCATTTATCCCTCCTTCACTCTCTTCTGCTGACCCAGCCCTTTCCCTCTGTGTCTGTGTCTGATTTATGGGCTTTTTTTTTTTTTTTTATGTTCAAGTTTTATTACAAAGTATGATGGGCAGAAAATACGGCCTTATACAGGAGGCTGAAACAGAATGAAAGGGCAAAAATTAGGTTTAATATACTCAGGAAGCAAGAAATAGTCATAGACATAACACTCCACTTTCAGGTGCCTTTGGGATTTATTTACCATTGTGGTTTCACAGCACAGTGTTAAAATTTTATTATAAGACCTGTGATTTATGGGCTTTTGTTTGTTTGTTTGTTTTGCTTTTTCACCCAGCGATCCAACCCTCCTTCCCTCTGACAGCTGTCAGTCTATTTTCTGTATAGATTAGTCTCTATTTTGTTATTTTATTTTGTTCATTAGATTCCTCATATAAGTGAAACCAGGCGGTACTTGTCTTTTTCTAATTGGCCTCTTTTGGTTAGCATTGTATCTCCAGGGCCACCCCTGCTCTTGCAAACCTTAGGATTTCCTTTTTCCTCTGCCTATTGACATTCTCCACCACCACATCTTTTCTTCCCTATAATGACAGGCATGCAGGTGACCTAAACGTACTTGCTAATTAAAATCAGTTCTCTCAAAGCCACTCCACAATCAGCCAAGCACACCGTAAGCAAAACACTTAGCTCAGAGCAGGCCGGGATGAACAGGGCTATGCTGATCACACACACCGACTTCCAAGCACAGTGGTTCCTGATGGATTCTCAACAGAAAGAAACTTCCTTTTCCAAGCAGCTGATCTACGACTTCCTCTCTGAGACCTCATGAACTTATACATAAGGAGTCATTCCTTCAGAGGCTGGGAATCTGCTTTGTCACTTAGTGGCTGGTGGCTCAGCATTAGTTACACTTTTTGTACTTGCGGACCACTTCTTTCCCCTGTGACGCAGGGCCCTTTGTGAGTGTTTGTGGAAGTGTGCTATTAATGCTGAAATTTAAACTTTGGTACTGAATCATTTCACAGCTGTTCTTTGCTTCCTTGTTTTGAGAGGCTAGGTATCTGCCCCATCAGGACATACACATTCATAATTCCTGGGGCTTTACCCTAAGCGTCTAAACTTAAGTTCTAGTTTCCCACAGCTCTCAAGGGTCCAGCTTGCTTCCTTTTGTTTCTCTTTCTGTTCAGGAGAAAATAGAAGTTCTGTTTTAAGTTGTGTCTGCACCTTAATACAGATACCAGCTTTGAAGTAGTATTTTGTGTTGAATAATTAGAGACTGTGTTTCTGTTTTATTTTGGGAGATGTAGGAATTTTAGGGTGAGCTGATTGTTGATGTGGTTGTCTGCAGCAGCTTGCCTTGTAAAGATTATTTCTCTTGTGTTCTTCCCCCACATTTTATTAAAAATTGGAAATAGCCGAAACTGGTTTGGCTCAGTGGATAGAGCGTTGGCCTGTGGACTGAAAGGTCCCAGATTCAATTCCGGGCAAGGGCATGTATCTTGGCTGTGGGCACATCCCCAGTAAGAGATGTGCAGGAGGCAGCTGATCGATGATTCTCTCTCATCCATGTTTCTGACTCTATCTCCCTTCCTCTCTGTAAAAAATCAATAAAATATATTTAAGGAAAAAAACGGAAATATGTGGAAAAATGGAAATAACTCAGTGAATCTTAATGCTAATATATTTGCTTTATCTCAAAGCAAGGTAAAGCTTTCCTTTTATCTTGTTTCTCTCCCCCTCCCCCCCCAACCCCGGCTTTAAGCTAATAGTAAAGTGGGGAGAGAAACAGACAGACATGCACAGCACCTACACATACTAGACATAGGAGAGCAGGTTGGCAAATGAGCAAGTGAATGGGAATGAATGAATGGTCTGAATACAACATGCTTCCAGCTCCAGGACACAACGAAACAGTTCCCAGCTAAGTCCCTGCCCTTAGAGGGTTTCTGTGGGGCGAGGGGGTAAGAAACCTCTTTGCCAGGTAGCCAGCATGAAGCCTTCACTGCAGGTCCACATGTCGGTGTGGCCAATGGAGTTCGGAAGAGGGAAGACGATCCCAGAAGTTTGGTACAGTTGACAAAGGCTTTTTGGGAGAAATGGAGCTGGAACGGGGCCAAGAGGTAGAACAGAGCCTGAGAGCTCAGATGGGCACAAGGCATTCTGCGCCATGGGTAGTCTGAGGCTGCCACGTGTTCCGGAGGGGTGACTGTGGTGGATAGCCAGCTGCCCACTGCAAGCCCTTCCTTCGGGGGATTGGAGAGGGGACTGTCTTCTTTGTGCTCCGAGGACGGCCCTGGCCTGTTGGAGGCAGGACCCACTCCCAGGTACTGCCCACTCCAGGCTCTGCCCTTGCTGCACATTTGCCTAGAATATTCTCCCTCTAGATGGCTGAGTGGCTGCCTCTTCCTTCTGGCCTCTTTTAATGGAAACTTCGCTGTCCCCCCTCCCCCTAAAGTAGCAGCTCCTTCTGGCACATTCCCTCCTGCAGTCCTCCCAGCATGCTTTGTTCTTCTCTGTGCTGTGTCCCCAAAGCCTAGCACAGTGCCTGTGAATATATAGCCGTGTGTGTGTATGAATAGATATGTATGGATGTAGAGAGGTGGTGCTTAGGGGAGTTTATGTGTGAAGGAACGAACAAATGGGAATTCTGAGGTGGGCAGAGAGTTGGCAAAACATAGTGCAGGGCCAGTGTCCTTGTGGGCAGAGTTGAGTGTGGGTGTGTTACCTTGCCCTGCTTAGAAAGCTCCAGGGGGTTGATGGCATTTCTCTTTGAAGGATCATGCTCTAAGGAGAGCCCGTGGTGATGCTGTGCCTCTTGTCCTCTCCCTAGGACCCCTGCAGTGCACCATGAGTCGGTAATGCCCACTGAGGACTTCTGGGAGCCATGTCAGACGAATCCGCCTCAGGGAGCGATCCAGACCTGGACCCGGACGTGGAGCTGGAGGATGCGGAAGAGGAGGAGGAGGAGGAGGAGGTGGCAGTGGAAGAGCACAGCAGGGATGAGGAGGAGGACCTGCTTGATGGTTAGTGCTGGAGGTGGTCTTATCTTTTCTTCCAATGGACTCTTTGCTGGCTGTTTCCAGTTGGGTTTCTTAGGTCATCCATCATGAAAAGCCAGAGACTGCAAACACAGCAACCATGAACTCACATGCTTCTTCCCAGGAAGTGGGCTATTCTACATAAGTCTTGCTTTAGTGCTGGAAGGACCGTTAGCATTTATTCAGCTTGTCTTTGACTGGCATGCAGACTCAAGTCTGAGGATTTGGAAGTGGAGGAGTCAGTGGCAGAGTCCCTGTGACCACACTTTGTGGTCCAGTGTCATGGACCCATGAGGTGGCTACAGGTAGGCATGGGAGTCACAGTGAGTGGTCTGAGAGTTTCCTGAAATTACACTCACAATTCTGCCTGTGTGGACATGAGCAGTGAGGGTTGGTGCTTCTGGCCCCCTGTGGGGAGAGAGAAGGGATGCTGCTAAACATCCGTTGCATAGGAAAACCCTTCCTATATGAGTTACCCAGCCCAACATGTCAATAGCGCTGAGCTTGAGAAACCCTTTCAAAAAGGAAACTATTACTATAGCACTTTTTATTTGAAGTTTCCTCTATTGAATAACAGCAGCTCCCTTTTATATTGCTTCCGCATAGTGTACAGAAACATCTGAACATCTTACTAATCTTCTCAAACCATTGTCCTTTGGCTTTCGTGACCCCTCTATTGTATTTGTTCACTTTGTAATGTCTACTTTATAGTACACTTCTTTCTGCTTCTTTTGGATTTATTTTGCATTACTTTCAAACTTCGTAAGAATATGCTTAGCTCATTTTAGGCTCCCCCCACCCTTATATAAGCATCCTATATAATAAAAGCCTAATATGCTAAGTGTATGCACATCCAGTCGGCTGTTCAACCAATCAAAGTATAATATGCTAATGATAAGTTAAGGCCACTAAACCACTTGCTGTCACATGCACTGACCACCAGGGGGTAGTTGTTCCGACCAGTAGGTTAGTTTGCTGCTGGGGTCCAGCTGTGGAGCCCTCTTGTGGTCCCTCCCTGGCCCTGATCTGCACCAGTGGGATCCTGCAGCCTAGCCTGCGCCTCTTGAATCCTGGGACCCCACAGGGAATGTTGGAGAGCCAGTTTTGGCCTGATCCCGCAGGCCAGGCCGAGGGACTCCACTGGTGCACAGATTCGTGCACTGGAGTAGTTTAAAGCTATAAATTTCCCTCTGAGTGCTAGCTCTGTCCTTTCACAAGCATTTTCTCACACTTTCCCCCACTTCCCCTGGAATTTTTATTTTTTTTATTTATTTTATTATTTTATTATTTTTTTTTCCCCCCGTCACCGTCGCCCCCAGACCCCTCCCCTGGAATTTTTGTTTTTGTTTGGTTTTGGCTTTTTTTTCTTGACGTCTATACTGGGCTTTCTCTATTCTTTTGAAATAGGCACAGTTGGGTGTCAGCATCTTTGGGGTCTGTTGTTAGAGACAAAGATTCAAAACCTGGTGCCTCTGGAATGAGCTTTCCTTATTTTCTGGCTCTATTTTCTTCCAGCTCAGCCTCAAGGTTAATCTCTTGCTGGGCATGTAGGACCCCTCAATGGAGAAGTCCGAGAAGCCCTAGTATAAGTTAGCTAATCAAGATCTGGACACAGATTGGCACGATGGGTACAACGATCTAGAACACATGTGTCAAACACAAGGCCCGCGGGCCAAATCCGTCCCGCCAGGCCTTGCAATGTGGCCCGCACCGCGCTGTCATCACTGCACTCCGCTGCGTTTCCATCACAATGACAGTTTATGACTGTTCAGTAAACCATTCGGCCTGCGATTTAGGCTGGATTTTAGATTTTGGCCCCTTCTCTGATTGAGTTCGACACCCCTAATCTAGAACATCTAGGCCTTCTTTATTTACTTTCCTCTTGTCTGTTTTATATGGCATATCAGGATAGTAGGAACCTGGAACTGCAGGGAGATGACGGCATGCTTAGACCCTCTGTAACCTGTTTCACAAACATCTTGTTGACAGCAAGCCTCCTTGATGTCAACTTTGGCTTCAGGCTGGCTCCGTCCACCTTGGACCATGGATCAGGAAAGCTGGTCTCTTTCTCAGCCACTGGGTCTCCGACTCTTCTACAGGAAGTTTGCTTTTTCTCTGACCCCATTTTACTTGTCCTCTTTGCTTGCAATGTAAAGAAATCGGGAGTGAAATGTTCTAGGCAGAGGGCCAGGGCAAAGGCCCTGCGGTGGAAACAAATCTGTTTAAGAATCAGAAAGGTAGAAGCCGTGGCAGCTGGAGCATAGAGAGCAAGGGGCAGAGGTAGGCAGGGGCCTGCATGGTGGTGGTTTGGGATGTACCTGGAACCTGGGGTCTGTTTACTTGGGTTCTCACAGGTGCTGTTCAGATTCTCACTGTGAGCACTGGACTGATTTTCAGAGCAGCCTGAGTCAGAGTTTGGGGTGACCTCTTGTTAGAAATTAAGTGGTGCTAATTTAAAAAATATATATATTTTATTGATTTTTTTACAGAGAGGAAGAGAGAGGGATAGAGAGTTAGAAACATTAATGAGAGAGAATCATTGACCAGCTCCCTCTTGTACACCCCCTACTGGGGATGTGCCCGGAACCAAGGTACATGCTCTTGACCGAAATCAAACCTTCAGTCCGCAGATTGATGCTCTATCCACCAAGACAAACCAGCAAGGGCAATTATTAAATTTTAATGAAATCAAATTTATCATTTCCCCCTTTATAGTTAGTGCTTTTTATGCCTTATTTAAGAAATTGTCGCCCCCCCCCCCCCCCCAAGGTCATAAAGCTATTTTCCTGTTATCTTCTAGAAGCTTTAATGTTTTATTTGCACTTAGTTCTGTGATCTATCTGGAGTTGATTTTTGTGTGGTGTGAGGTAGGGGTCAAATTCATGCCCTCTTCCCCCAATATGATTTTCTAATGGCTCCAGCACTCTGTATTGCATTTTTGCTATAACCTTGTTGTAAACCAAGGCAGAGAACATATGTAGCTCTGTCTCTGAATTCTATTTCTCCCCACATGACCTTCTGGGAAATGGGGTAGAGAAGCGACTGCAGTGTGGTGCTAAGAGCATGAACTCTGGAGCCAGATCGACCACCTGGTTAACACAGAATCTTGTCTTTACTGTTTACAGCTCTGAGACAAGTTTCCTCATCTGTAAAATGGCATGCATGCTCCCCTGTGGTATTGTTTGCCAAGTTTACCATTGTCCTTAGTCCCCTGTAGTTTTGCAAACTGGGAGTGAGATAACAAGGTGAGTTCAGATGCAGACTCAGTTTTTTGGCACACACATCCTACTGTATCATGCCAAGAGGCACATAGTAAGATGTGGAATTCGTTGGTGTTTTTTTGTTTTATTTTGTTTTTTTAATCTTCACCTGAGGATATGTTTTCATTGATTTTAGAGAGAGGGAAAGGGAATGGGGAGAAACATCAGTCCATTGCTTCCTGCGTGCGCCCCCAGTCAGGGATCAAACTCACAGTCTTTTGGTGAATAGGATGACACTCCACCAGCTGATCCACCGAGCCAGGCAAGGACAGTTTAAGATGTGGAAACCAGACATTTCAGAAGAAGCATGAGGCAGCCATGAAGCACTGTAAACCACTGACTTATGTGACAGACTACATATCAGCACATACGTAAACTGAAGCTCTGACAAGCCAGCAGTGGTTGTTGAACCACAGGTTGAGGGTTCGTTCAAAGAATGCCGGGTGGTAAGAGCTGTAGACCAGCTCTTTATAAAGAAAAGGGAGAATCTGAGTCTGTACCAAGTGTGCATGAGAATTTTATATGCTGTGTCTAATCATTTTAAATTTCTCCTGCAGATGTCCACACCCACCCTCTGCCAGACAGAATTCACAGCCAGGCCTCACAAGTTGTAATGTTTGATAGTGAACTTGTCTGTGATATTGAAAGGCTGTCAGGTTCTGTTCTTCCTCCTCCCAGGAACAGTTCACTCTGCAAGGCTCAGACCAGAAGGAAGAAATACAACAGTTGGCAACAAGTTCCCATGGCCCAGCAGATCAAATTCAGACCCTTGGCCTTATTCAAGGCCTGCCCTCTGTACTTGGACTCTGTCTTATCTGCCTTCTCCCTAACAACCTCGCCTCCAACTATTCTTCCGAGTGGTTACTTAATAAATTTGCTTGTGAAATAGAAACAAAACAAAAAGCCTTAAGGCCAGGAGAACATCAAAGGTCATTGTCCAAACCAGTTCAGAGGATCCAGCAAAACACCAAGTTGAAGTGTGCCAACCCAGCCCCAAGTGTAATTGGTGTGTAGGCCAAGGTGCAGTGTTGGTGAAAGTGGCCGTTTAGTGGTAGCTATCCCCCTCAGGGAGTCTGCTGTCCACACTCCTGGTTCTCTGGTAGGAGGGATTTGATGGCTTTGTTTATTAGGAGGAAAGAGTGCGGGGCTGTGAGTTAGGCAGAAGGTGACAGTATTGTCATGTGGCAACCCCAGGGGAGTATTAGCTCTGTGGAGGCGTGAGGGGCCTGAAGGAACGATAGTTCTTTTTAAAAAAAATATATTTTATTGATTTTGTACAAACAGGAAGGGAGAGAGAGAGATAGAAACATCAATGAGAGAGAGTCATCGATCAGCTGCCTCCTGCACACCCCCCACTGGGGATATGCCCTCAACCAAGGCACATGCCCTTGACCAGAATCGAACCCGGGACCCTTCAGTCCCCAAGCCGACGCTCTATCCATTGAGCCGAACCGGTCTCGGCGGAACGATAGTTCTTAAGGAAAACAGTTTGCTGAGCTTTCCTCCCGCGTTGCATCAGGTGGTTGGGCAGATGTTTATATACGTAGGAAGTAATCCCCCCAGTAAGACTAGTACTGTCTGACAACACACATAGTTATTACAATATTATTGACTGTATCCCCTAAGCTCTGCTGTATATCCCCATGACTGTTTTGTAACTGCCAATTTGTACTTCATCCCTCCACCTTGTTCACCCAGCCCCCTAAACCTCTTCCCATCTGGCAACTCAGTTTGTTCTCTGTATCTATTAGTTTGTTTCTGTTTTATTTGTTCATTTATTTTGTTTTTCAGATTCCACACATAAGTGAAATCATATGTATTTGTTTTTCTCTGCCAGACTTATTTCATTTAGCATAATATCCTCTCTATCCATCCATGTTATGGCAAATGGCCACTCTTTTTTCTTTTTTAATCCTCACCTGAGGATATTTTCCCATTGATTTTTAGAGAGAATGGAAGGGAGATGGGGGGGAGGGGAGGAGAGAGAGAGGTGAGAAACATCAATATGAGAGACACACCAGCTGGTTGCCTCCCTCATGCACCCTACTAGGGCTGGGGATTGAGTCCGAAACAGAGGTACATGCCCTTGACCAGGAATCAAACCAACAACCCCTTTGGTATGAGGGCCAATGCTCTAACCACTGAGCAACTGGCCAGGTCTGGTCATTCTTTTTTATAGCTGAGTAATATTCCACTGTATATGTACCACATCTTTATCCAATTGTCTATTAGTGAACGATTGGTTATTGTAAATAATGCTGCCATGAATATAGGAGTGCAGATATCTTTCTGAATTGGTGTTTTGGATTTGTTTGGATAAATACCCAGAAATGGGGTGGAAATGATTTTTAATTATTTGCATTAACTCCATACTGTTTCCATAGCGGCTGCACCAGTCTGCATTCCCCCCAACAGTGCACGGGGCTTCCCTTTTCTCCACACCCTCGCCTGCACTTGTCGTGTGGTGATTTATTGATACAAGCATTCCGATGGGTGTGAGGGGTATCTCATTGTAGTTTTGAATTTGCATCTCTGGTAATTAGTGCTGTTGAGCATCTTTTCATATGTCTGCTGGCAGTCTGTATCTCCTGTGGAGGGAGAAGTGTCTGTCCAGGTCTCCTGCCCATTCTTTAATCGGATTGTCTAAAAAACAGACTTATTGAAGGAAGGAGTGTTACACGTAGTCCTTACAACACCTAGGACAGTGCCTGCCTGTTGTACGCCCTCATACGTAGGCAGTGAATTGGACAAGTGAGCACTTGAAGACACTTGTTCTTCTGGTTGGCAGATGCGACGTGCTTAGAGTCACACAGGTGAGAGTGAGCTGTGTTTGGAACCCAGCTGCTCCTTTCTGAGCAGACTGAGGCCACGAAGCTTCCGTCCTCAGACCGCCGCGCAAAATTATAGCAAGAATGATGGCTGTCATTTTTTGTGGGCCTGCCCTGAGCCAGGCTTGGTGCTAGGAACGGGCACTGGTTAGTCCTCACTGTAGCTCTGAAGTGTGGGCATCATTATTCTCATTAGGTAGACAAGTCCATTGAGGTCCCGAGAGATATAAGTAAGTTGCCTAAGATCACCAGCTAATAAGTTGCTGAGGTGAAGTTTGAGCCCAGGTGTGTCCAGCATCAGAACTTCCCTGCCACCTCTTTCCCCTTATCTGCTCAGACCCATCCCTGGAGGACATGTACGGCCCCGAGTGTGCCCAGCCGGAGGAAGATGGGCAGCGGCCGCCGCGGTGCACTTCAACTACCTCATCTCAGTCTGAGCCTTCAGAGCAGCTTAGGCACCACCAAGGCAAGAGCCTGGCCTCTGACGACCCCAAGAAGAAGAGAGCTCAGAAGCCCTCCCACATGAGGAGGAACATACGGTGAGCTGCGCTCCGAGTAGAGGGAGGAGGTTCGTGCTTTCTTTCACCAGAAGGCTGTCAGAGCAGGAGGCCTGGCCTGCGCGGAGTCTTCTTTCCAAAGGACAAGCGTGTGAGCCGTGTGCCCAGAGGAATAGTGAAGGTGCCGCTCAGGGCCAGATGCGGGCAGACGATGGCACTTGGGCTCTGTTGGGCAGTGTCCCGCTCTGGAAGCCCCACGCAGGATAGGGTGCTCTGCTTGGACCCCAATTCGTCCATTATTTTCCCTTATGTCTCAAAGCAAGAGGAGATAAACAAAGTTGAGTTCTATTCTTAGAACTCAGCTTCAGTGGAGGGGATGTCTGATCCCGAGCAGGGCTTCTTCCTTGAGCTGAGAAATCAGCGAGCATGCACTTCCTTCACTGCCCAAATCCCAACAGCCCTCCGTCTACCAGAGAGAAATGCTCTTTTCTCCTCCTACCCTCTTCTTGACATAATGACAACTCAAAAATATTACTCTAACTTTGGGAAATAAGGTTATAGAATCATCCATAATCCTCCTTTCCATATGCCAACTCTATTTTTATCGGCTTTTCAGCTCTATGAATCACATCACTCTATTTTACTCTTGTTCTGTTATGTGCAGAGATGAATCGGCAGGGGCATCTGTCAGGAAGTTAAATGATATTATAAAAAATATATGAGACCAGTATGTCTATATATAAAATATAAGGCCAGTGACTCCTGAGCCTTGAAGTCCCTTTTCTTTACGCCTTGCTCATTTCGTGGGTTTGGTAGGACTGATGTTTCTCCTCTCACCTCTGTGCTCTGAGCTCAGCAATGCGGAGTCCTCTGTAGCTTCACATTGCATCGCTCAGATCGCAAGTGAACCCAGTGCCCTCTCCTTGTGACCTTTAGAAAGCTGCTCCGGGAGGACCAGTTGGAGGCAGTTACCAAAGCAGCACAACAAGAAGAGCTGGAAAGAAGGAAACGCCTGGAGCAGCAGAGGAAGGACTACGCAGCTCCCATCCCCACTGTCCCCTTCGAGTTTCTTCCCGGTGAGCAGTGCGGCAGGAGCGGCCGGAGAGCCTGTGGTGGGCAAGGACAGACCTGGAGTCCGGTCGTGATCTCTCAGGGAGCCTTTCCAGTCAGTCAGCTTGGGGAGCTCTAGAGCAGAGGGATCTCATTTACAAAGTTCAGGTGGCTGAACGTGTGCTCCTCACACTGGTCTTATTTAAATTTTGGCCCCTTCCCCCCTTAACTTTGGATCTTAACATGTCCAAGGACTGGGACCTGTTCTAGTGCTCAGGTGGAATCAGGAAGTAAGAACCACCCGAGAAAAGGGGCTTTGGAATGCCCTCTGCTTCTCTCCTGGGGGTAGTCCTGGTGAGAGCAAAAAGGAGAGGATATTTGAAAAGAACACTGCCACACGTGGTTTGACGTTCCCTTCCATCTTCTTTTCTTAGAAGAAATTGTCTTAAGAGCAAGTGATGGTCCCCAGCTGCCCCCTCGGGTCTTGGCCCAGGAAGTCATTTGTTTGGACAGCAGCAGTGGCAGCGAGGATGAACAAAGCAGCCGAGATGGTAAGATGAAGCCAGAACTTTCATAGAAGAGTCGGGGCCTTCCTTATGCACATTGAGGTCTGACTGTGACAGATTCCCTGCGGCATCCTGGTGAACGTAAATCTCCCCTTGGCTTACCTTGAAGCTATCATAGGAGATAACCAGGCCTGCCTGCCTTCCTGTGCTCTGTCACTAACCGTGGGCAGGAAGTCACTCTGCTCCTGGCTCTGTCTTTGTTTTGTCTTGTCGCTGTCTCAGAGGTGATTGAACTGAGCTCTGGCGAGGAGGACACTCTGCACATTGTGGACAGCAGCGAGTCTGTGAGCGAGGAGGACGAGGAAGAGGAGAAGGGTGGCACCCACGTGAATGACGTCTTAAACCAGCGCGATGCTCTGGGGCGCGTCCTCGTCAACCTGAACCACCCTCCGGAGGAGGAAAACGTCTTCCTGGCCCCACAGTTGGCTCGGGCAGTGAAACCCCATCAGGTACAGCAATGCTTGGCTCTCTTCGTTTCCTTCCAGCTTCCTCACCGTGGACATTGCCTGCTCGTGCTCGTTGGCATCACAGCCCGGGAGGTACTGTTGGTACCAGAGCAGCTATTGGAAAGGCCTGGTCCTTCTTCCTAGCAGTTGATGCTTCAGGATTTCCCGTGAATGGGAGGGGACAAGCCCCGGTTCGCCCTGCCACGTAGAGCGTGCTGGATCCCTTGGCTTACTGACCTGGAGCCCCCCTCGGGGGCCTGTGAGGCTGGTTGAGATGCTCTCGGAGAGCAGTGCTTTGATGAGGAAGTGAGGCTCCAGAAGGGATGTGAGAGGCGGAGTCTGAGGGCCTTTCTCACGGAGGGGGCAGGAGTTGTGCTGACCCAGAGCCTGGAACCGGGACCAGTGAGCAAAAGTTCCATGGGGACGGGGTTTGACCCAACGTGAGAACTCAGCAGTAAGAACGGCTCCTCCTGGAGGGGCTGCGGGGGGGGGGGGGGGGGGGGGCAGCCAGCTGCGGCTGAGGGAGGGGCCCCGGTGCCAGCTGAAGGTTTTTCTGTTTTCTCCAACAAGAGTGTTGCCAGCCAATAGACTGGCCAGGGTACAGGGAGACTTCTTTTTTTTTTTTTTTAAGATTGTTTTTTTTTTTTTTAATTTATTTATTTTAAATATATTTTATTGATTTTTTACAGAGAGGAAGTGAGAGAGAGAGAGCTAGAAACATCGATGAGAGAGAAACATCGACCAGCTGCCTCTTGCACACCCCCTACTGGGGATGTGCCCACAACCAAGGTATATGCCCTTGACCGGAATCGAACCTGGGACCTTTCAGTCCGCAGACCGACGCTCTACCACTGAGCCAAACCGGTATCGGTGGGAGACTTCTTTAGTCGTCCATACCAGCTGCCTGGTGTCATGGCTGCTCTCACTTCTGACTAATTCAAGGTGAGGAACCCAGAGCCCTGGTCTTTGCCAGCCCTTCTGACATGTGTGTGTTCCTTGCCAGATTGGCGGGATCCGGTTCCTGTATGATAACCTGGTTGAGTCCCTGGAGAGGTTTAAGACCAGCAGTGGCTTTGGCTGCATCCTGGCCCACAGCATGGGGCTGGGGAAAACTTTGCAAGTGATCTCCTTCGTCGACGTCCTCTTCCGCCACACGCCAGCCAAAACCGTCCTCGCCATTGTGCCAGTAAGCGTTCAGGAGGCACCGCCTGGCACCCTCTAAAGAGCTCGGGAACCCTCCCTTGTCTCGAAAAGCGGGAGGAGCTCAGCTCGGAGCTGGCTCCTCACAGCGCTCTTTGCGGCCTGGCTCTCCGCAGGTTAACACTCTCCAGAACTGGCTGGCGGAGTTCAACATGTGGCTCCCAGCTCCCGAAGCCCTGCCCGCCGACAGCAAGCCTGAGGAGGTCCAGCCGCGCTTCTTTAAAGTTCACATCCTGAACGATGAGCACAAGTAGGTGGCCTGCCTCCCTCTGCCCCTTTCCGTTTAGCTTCTTCCTGGGGCCTGGATGTCCAGGGACTGCCCTGTCCTCCCTGACTCCTTTGCGTTTTGATGTGTCCCTCTCTCTTCTTGCCACTCATTTTTCTTTGCCTGGCTTTTCGGTGAAGGCAGGGTATGTGGCCGGGAAACTTCTCGTCCTCTTGAGGCTACTATTACACCAGGTGTGCCAGGATACCACTCAGCGTGATAGCACAGAACTTCCCATCTGACCTTTTACCTTTCACTTTCTCTTTTCCTAGCAGCCCATAAGTCTCCTTTCAAGCGACGCACCATTGATCTATAGTTTACCTTTTTTTTAACCCTCGCTTGAGGATATGTTTATTAATTATATATATATATTTGAGAGAGAAAGAAATAGAGAAACATCAGTGTGAGAGAGAAACATCCATCGTTTGCCTCCTGCACAATTCCTGACTGGGGATTGACTCTGCAACCTTTTGGTGTGTGGGACCATGCTCCAACCAAGTGAGCCTCCCAGCCAGGGCTACAGCTGACCTTTAATGGTACAACTTCCAGGCTTTGAAAGGTGCAAACCTTTTTTTGTTTCAGATTTCAGCAAAATTATATTTCCTCTCCATATATTCAACCTGATTCCCAAAACTCTAAAGGTATTTCTTGGTCCAGGCCTGCCTCTATTCTACCCTTGCCTCTCGGCATGGATATGGAGAAGGCAGGCTTTGTCCTCGGTGGAGGCTGCCTCCGGCCACTTGGTCATGCACGTGTAAATGAGGAGACGGTGGCGGCCCACAGGTGGCTGTCACCTGCTCCTGCTGCTCAGCTCTCAGGACTGAGTCCCGTGCATCAGGGCTCAGCTGCTCAGGAAGGAGGGACTGTGCCGCGTGTCCTTGGTCTTGGCTGCTCTTCCTCTCCTGCTTGTCCTGGCTCTTCAGCTACCAGGACCCGGGCAGCCCGAATGCAGGAGCAGCCCTTGCCTTAGTGCTTTCTATTCACTGTAGGAGTAACTCTCCCTCAGGTATTGTAGTCATGCAAGTACATCCAAGGAGGTTGCCACTTTTGCTTGCCTGGTGCCCTTGGATTTCTGTTTTTTGCTATTTAACCATCATCAGTGACCCCCGTCCATCCTTGCTGTGATCTCTAGGATGCTGGGGAAGTCCCTGGGCAGCGGCCAGCCCTGTGCGGCTCCCTGGCCTTTGGCAGTCAGGATCCTGAGTGTGCATCAGCACAGCTGTGCTTGTGAGCACTTTTCCTGGAGCAGCGGGAGCAGTAATATTTTCTCTCTGTTCACTCTTTCAGGACAATGGCAGCTCGAGCTAAAGTGATGGCTGATTGGGTGTCGGAGGGTGGGGTGATGCTGATGGGGTACGAAATGTACAGACTCCTCACCCTGAAGAAATCCTTTGCCACAGGTAGACCGAAGAGAAGCAAGAAACGGTCTCACCCGGTCATCATTGATCTGGATGAGGAAGACCGCCAGCAGGAGTTTCGGAGAGGTGGGCAGCCCCTCCTGGGCTCTTCCTAGGGCTTTTCAGGAAAAAGAAGTAGTGTCTGCAGTAGCGCCTGGGCAAGTGTGAAGCTCTATTGATGTGAGCTGTGTTGCCTTGAACCAGGAATCCTGGCTCTTGGCCGTGGATGAGTGGTTAGACCAGGGCCCAGACTGGCTCAGAGGAGCCCCGGCCCATCCGGCTCATTTCTCTCACAGAGCAGCTGGGACAGTAACTGCTGCCTTTACCACCTCCTAGCGGTGATCTGAGACAGCACCAAGAACACGTTTATAAAGTCCTAGTCACAGATACACAGAGCAATGACATTATTGCTTGTGAATTTATAAAACAGAGTGAAAGCCATTCCTCTCATAGTTCTACTCCCTCTTCCAAGGGTCTTTGTCCCTTTGGGGAAGAAAGTTTCCTGAGGGTCCAGAGGCCCTTCCGTCCCGCAGGCCTCTCCACCGGGAGGCTATGTGGTTGTAGGGTTGATCTGTTACACAGCTGGGGGGAGTTGGCCTTTTAGCAAGGACTGGGGCGTGAGTCCAGGAAGACTTGCCCTCAGCTGGCTCCCCAGCGAGCCCTCTGCCACCGAGATGCTGATGCGGTGAGAGCCAGCTGGAGTGTCCGGACCACTCCTGTCAGGCTCACCCAGGCTCACATTTAGTCCTCGGCGGGCGCTCTGTATAGCCATGCGCTCTGCTGCCCAGTTGGTCTAAGCCCTAGGAACGCGAGTCGGTTTTACTTTGAGCATAACAGGGAGAAAAGGAGGGGGAGAGATTTACTCAAAGTCAACAGGCCAGGCTCACGCGTCACCCGCCACATAGGAGCTTGGAAGGCTGGCTCCCTTTCAGCGATGGGGGCTGACTCTTGCTTTCCTGCTTCCTTCATTTCTTCTGTCTCCTCCAGGGTGCACCCTTACTTCTCATACTGTTGACTAAGAGCAGGCCCTCCCACCCTCTGACTGCGGATCCTCTTCCCTCCCTAGAGTTTGAGAAGGCCTTGAGCCGCCCTGGCCCAGATGTGGTGATCTGCGACGAGGGCCACCGCATCAAAAACTGCCAGGCCAGCACCTCGCAGGCCCTGAAGAGCATTCGCTCCCGCCGCCGGGTGGTGCTGACCGGCTACCCCCTGCAGAACAACCTCATCGAGTACTGGTGCATGGTGGACTTCGTACGCCCGGACTTCTTGGGCACCCGGCAGGAGTTCAGCAACATGTTCGAGCGCCCCATCCTGAACGGGCAGTGTATCGACAGCACGCCCCAGGACGTCCGCCTCATGCGCTACCGCAGCCACGTGCTACACAGCCTGCTGGAGGGCTTCGTGCAGAGGTGAGCCGGCCTCTGAAGGAGTGGGCGGCGCTCCAGAGGGCCATGAGCACGACCTCCTTTTACTCAAGGACATGTCCTGAGTCGCTGGCAGAGGCTGGGTACCACTTTCAGTCCTCTGGAAGTTTGGCCAGAAGTGCTTCCTTCAAAAGTTGGATCTGTGGTCACCATGGATGCCCGCCTTACCTGCTGAGGAGCAGACAGCTGGCATCCAGCTGACTCGTGTGAACGGGGCACGGGTGGTTCTAAGGGCGGGTCTTGCCGGGCCAGCCTCTTGGTGCACATAGCTACTCTGATCCCCAGCAGTCCCCTGTTTTTCCTGGGTAACATGGCATATGTGGAGAAAGCGTAGAGGAACAGCCCTGAATCGGTGTAAGAACCTGGAATTCCTGTCAGGGACCCGGGGCAGGCCACTGCCTCTTGCTTTCGTTTTCATCCTTAAAATGAGTTTGGTCTTTTTTTTGTTAATGAGTTTCATCTTGGTGGTTGCTGTGAACCTCGAGGGGTGGGTGAGGCGGGAAGCAGGTCTGTTCTGTCGTGCACTGACGCCCCTGCCTCAGCGCCTTGTCAGCTCTGGTCTGCGTTCTAGGAGAGGCCACACTGTGCTGAAGATCCACCTGCCCGCCAAGGAAGAGAACGTGATCCTGGTGCGGCTCTCCCAGATCCAGCGCGATCTGTACACACAGTTCATGGACCGCTTCCGGGACTGCGGCAGCAGCGGCTGGCTGGGGCTGAACCCTCTCAAGGCTTTCTGTGTGTGCTGTAAGGTGCGTGGAGGCCTTGGGTACTGAGACACGGGCCAGGAGTGCACATGGCCCCCGGGCGTTACTCCTGTGGGCTGATGGTAGGACATCGTGGGACAGTATCCCTGCTTGCATGATTGGACTCAAGAACTCTATAGCTTAGGCTAGTAGTTGGGGCACCTTCCATGTCTGTATTTCATCCTGACAGTGCTTCAGATGTTGGGGACAGCAAGGCCATGTGTCCTTAGCACTCACCTCATGAGCAAGTTGATGGACACTCACTTGTCTTTGGCCTGGCAAGTGCTCCGTTACCTCTCAGGGGACCTGTTTCTTAGGCAGCTTCCAGCTCCCCTGCTGGGCATCATTGCTGACTGGGCACTGCTTTAATACGTGAGCTGAAGGAGTGTGGCTGGGGATAGATGGCATTTCAGAGTATTATATTTCCATTGTAGCCACAGCCCTAGAGACCAGACACGCATGGTCTGGAGCATGCTGCAGTGCCAGGGTCCATCTTACCAGCCCTTCTCCCCAGGGATTCTCAGCTCCGTCCAGGAGTGGCCCCTTAACTGCCTTACGGTTGGTCAGCTGGAAGCAGATATATTTGTCCGCAGGGAGACTTTGTCTGGCCTCATGCTGTGGTTGACGGTGGGCACTCTGAAACAGGAGCATTCTTACTGAATAAGAATAGAATGAAGGCTTATGTACCATACATACTGGCTTGCCCCTGTGTGACCTCTCCTGTTTGTGTGTCGTGTGATCAGTCAGTAAGTGGAAACGAATGTGCAGGTCTTCGGCCCAAGGGCGTTGGGATGTCTAATTTTGTGGTGGTTGTGCTGTGGGAGGTGTGTTGGGCAAGGACATGTTTCCAGATCTGGAATAGCTTCACACTGTTCTCAGCCCCGTGCCCCTTGTTTCTGACCTGCCCTCAGATCTGGAATCACCCCGACGTGCTCTATGAAGCCCTGCAGAAGGAGAACCTGGCCAATGAGCAGGACCTGGACGTGGAAGAGCTGGGCTCCGCGGGGCCTAGTGCCCGCTGCCCGTCACAGGGAACAAAAGTCAAGGGGGAGGACAGCGCCCTGGCCGCCTCGATGGGAGAGGCAGCCAACAGCAAGTTCCTGCAGGGGGTCGGCTTCAACCCTTTCCAGGAGCGAGGCAACAATATCGTCACGTATGAGTGGGTGAGTCAGGCATGTCCTGTGGCCGCAGAGCACTGCTGAGAAGGGATGTAAAGCCCACACGGGGGAGGGTGGGTGCGCAGCACACGTGCTGCCCAGGCCTGTGCAGGGATCTGTGAAGGCGGCCTATGAGCTGCTGTCCTGGAGGGAAAGAGTCCTGTGGACCTGCTCAGCCGCCTCATTTCTCTCGCAGGCCAAGGAGCTTTTGACTAATTACCAGACGGGAGTCCTGGAGAACTCTCCCAAGATGGTCCTGCTTTTCCACCTGATCGAGGAAAGCGTGAAGCTTGGTGACAAGATCCTTGTGTTCAGGTAGAAGAGAACTTTCTGAATGACACTGTGTGTCTGGTAACAGCGACATATCCCTGCAGAGCGAAACGTCTGGGATCATGCCAGCCCCCTTCCCACTCCCCACTCCTCTGCAAGCCAGCGCTTCTTGGGGGGACCTTGCATTTTGTCTTTTTCTTGGTCCAATGCTCTTCTCTTCAGACAACAATTTGAAGCCATAGGCTAACGTTGTAGATCATAGTCTAACCCTTCCTCTGGGGCCAGGCCAGTAGGCCTGTGGCCTGTTACTGTATAGCTTGAGAACTAGATTTCACATTTTATTATTTTTAAAAAATGTTTTATTGATTTTTTACAAAAGGGAAGGGAGAGGGATAGAGAGTTAGAAACGTCAATGAGAGAGAATCATCGATTAGCTACCTCTTGCACACCCCCTACTGGGGGTGTGCCCACAACCAAGGTACATACCCTTGACTGAAATCAAACCCGAGACCTTTCAGTCCTCAGGCTGACGCTCTATCCACTGAGCCAAACCGGTTTTGGCTAGATTTCACATTTGAAAAGGGTTTTAAGAAAAAGGAAACACAGCTGAGACTGGTCTTCGAAGCCTAAACATATTCGCTGTCTGGCTCTTCACAGAAAACACAGCAGGTCCTTGGTCTCATCTGCTTCTTTCTCTTTCTCCTGGCCTTTTTAAAATAAGGAATCTTTGTATATAAGGCCGAATAAAGCAGTTTGTTCCTGAGTCACATTCTCAGTCTGGCCCGAGCTTGGAGTCCCATCACGGCCCGACTCCTCAGGGAGCAAACACAGAGCAGTTGCTTCTCCTGCGTGCTGCCCAGTGTGCGCCAAGGAGAGCTCGGCGGCAGCGGCCCGGCTTGGCAATCTCGGAATGAGGGTTTCCGCGGGGGACGCATTTGCAAGGGCAGCAATGCTCTGATGGGGCGGGAGCTGCCTTTAGGGCTCACTCCTGAGGACACCGCTCTGCACACTCGGGAGCAGCCGAGTGCCCGTCTCCCGGGAGCCGCGTGAGACTGCCTGTGGCCTGCAGTCGGCTCTGATGTCTACTCATGTAGTGTGGGTTTTTGTTTTATTTTTAAAATAGGCTCTTACTGACTTTAGAGAGAGAGGAAGGGAAGACAGAGAGAGGGAAACATGGATGAGAGAGAAATTTCATCTATTGGCTGCATGTGCCCTGACCAGGAATCAAACCAATGACCTCTTGGCTCCTGGGTCATCACTCAACCACTGAGCCACACCGGCTGGCCACAGTGTGGGTTTTTAATGCTGATGCTATTGGATACTAGGCACTGAGTGAAACCCCAGAATTCCCCAGCTGAGCAAGTCATAGGGCAGAGAGTCTTTAGCCGGTGCCGGCAGTAATTGTGTGGTGACTGCTTTCACTATGAGCTAGAAAGAATACTTGGGTGGTTCTTGGTGGGGTACCTCTTACGGGGAGTGAGTTGTGGGAGCTCCCACCATCAGAGGTTTGATTGGTTTGATTTCTGCACACAGCGTTGGGCCTGTTGGGGAGCACGGTGCCTGTGGGTCTGAGCCTTCTGAACCCAGTGTTGTCCTTTCAGCCAGAGCCTTTCCACCTTGGCTCTCATCGAGGAGTTCCTAGGGAAACGAGACGTGCCCTGCCTACCCGGTGCTGAGGGGCAAGGAGTACAGAAGTGGGTTCGAAATGTCAGCTACTTCCGTGAGTTCATTGCTGCCTTGTTCCTGGCGCCTTGGTGAAGTCTGCTTAAGGGTTTACTTTCTCTCTCAATTTCTCTTCTCCTCCATTCTCTCTACGAAATATTTTGTTTGTAGCCACAGTCCTAGAGACCAGGCACAGAGAGGTTAGCTAAGGAGCAGAGAGAGGCTCAGCTGAGAGTGAGCTGCCGTGTGTGAGGTGCTGTCCTGGGGCTGAGGAGCTCAGGCAGATGGAGGTGGGGGTTACAGAGAAGTAGCAGGCATAGGCCTCATCTTCATATGAAACATGACAGATCCTTGGGTTCTAAGGAAGGCAGAATTGTCCTGGTAAGGCTGGTCAAAGAAAGCTTCCTGGAGGAGGCAGAGCTTGCACTAGACTTGCAGACATGGAGAGGGGTTGACAGATAACAGGGCTTGTGTGGCCCAGAGGCCATTCTAGGGGGAAGGAGTAGCGTGAACACAAGTTTAGATCATGTATTCTCTGTGGGGGAGATGGCAGCCTTAGAGTAGTGAACACTGGTTCTTGGGGTAGAAAAACAAACTTTTTGAAGAATGAAGCACAAATATGCATACAGAAAGTAAGCATATACCATAGATCTGTGGCGTTACAATTACATGGGGGCATGGTGACTGGGGGGAAAATGTATAAAAAGGTTCCTTAAGAGTGTGAGACGTATTGACCTCAGGCCTTACTGACCAGATGCTGACATTTGGGCCAGGTATAATAATTGTGTGTTATCGGGCAGTGTGTGCACTGCAGGATGTTGAGCAGCATCCCTGGTCTCTGTTCACTAGATGGCAGTAGCACCAATTCAGTTATGCCAACCGACAGTGTCTCCAGGCCCTGCAGGTGTCTCCTGTGGGGTGCAGGGCGCTTGCTGAGAAGCATCAGAGAGTTCAGGGGTGTGAGGAGACCCGGCACATGGTCTGGCTTGAAGCTTTGTAATGTCTCTGGGTTTGCCCAGCGAGTCGTGCTGAGCTGTGCTTGAACTTGTGAGAAATAGGGTTGGAAAGGCAGGTTGGAGTGCTGATGAGAGAGCCTCCAGTACCAGCCAGTGACACTGAACTGGAACAATTTTGTTCTCCATGTGGAAGTCTGTACCCTTAGCTTTGCCCTTTTCTCTGCCTTACCCAAGGTGACAAAGGAAGCCTCCGGGCCTTATGCTTCTTAACGGAAGGGCACTGCTCCTTTCGAGCTTCCCCCTTTCACTGCGATATCCCGCCCGCTGCTCCCTACCTGTTCCTCTGTGTCTCCCTGTAGCAAGTTCTCAGGCTGGGGCGCTTGTTAACAATGCAGTTCCTAGTGGAGGAACATTATCTCTATCCAAACAAGCCCTTGGTCCGTCTGTGCTCTGCCAGGATTTGCGGGACTGTGGAGAGGGCCACCTGAGGCAGTCTACCAAGCCTCCATACTTAGGATGACTCTTGGCACTCTAAAGTAGGAACCTTGGCCTTGAATCGACACAAGATATTCTAATCCTTGTTGCTCATGGGAACTACCTGGAGGTATTTTTAAGTTATAGGAACTTGGGTCTCAGGGTAGAGCTGAGCTCTGTAGTGTGTGTGCGCTTTGTTTTTAAAACACATTTGCTCAGGATTTTGCTGTGTCCCTGCCCTCATTTGTCCATTTCTGAGCTTCCCTTCTGTCCTAGGGCTCGACGGTAGCACCCCTGCCTTTGAGAGGGAGCGGCTCATTAACCAGTTCAATGATCCCAGCAACCTCACCACCTGGCTGTTCCTTCTCTCCACAAGGTGAGCGGGGCCTGGGTGGACAGGCCAGAGGGGGTGTTCTGGGCGACTGCCACAGGGGGAGGCACCCCGAAGGCTCGTCCACTTTCCACCAGAAGAGAGCTGCTGGGCTGTGACTGTTTTTGAAGAGAGAGGGGACACCAGGAGGAAGCCGTGGTAAAGGGCGACTGTGACATTGTCATTGAGTTCTTTGACACCCTCATTAACAACGGCTGTAATTAGCTTTTCCCTCAGAGTGTGCTGAAGCTGAGATGATGTGGAGAATGTAGGGTGTTTTAACAAGTAGCAAGTGCAACAGCGCTGTAAAGGGCTGCTGGCCTGTTTGTCTCATGCCAAGCAGAATGCCCTTGAGAGGGTATGAGCCAGTCGTTCTCCTGAGCTGTTAGCAGTTTCCCTTGCCAAGTGACATCACACTCCGCAGGGAGGAGAGCGGGCTGCTTTCTGCGCTGGTAGGCACTCGCGTGTTGCACGTTCGGGCATAATTGAGTGGGTGAGGACATAGCACTGTCCACCAGCAGGGCAGCAGGAATCTTGGTATGTGGGGCTTAGGACAAAGAGGAGGGTGTTGGGGTAGGAGTCACGGTGGGTAAAACTGACTTGAAAAATTCCTTTAAAATGTAAGGCTTGTGATTGTTCGTTTGTGTTTTAAAGGGCTGGGTGCTTAGGCGTGAATCTGATCGGTGCCAACCGCGTGGTGGTGTTTGACGCTTCCTGGAACCCTTGCCATGATGCCCAGGCAGTGTGTCGGGTGTACCGCTACGGCCAGAAAAAGCCCTGCCACATCTACCGCCTTGTGGCCGATTTCACCCTCGAAAAGAAGATCTACGACCGTCAGATTTCCAAGCAGGGCATGTCAGGTGGGCCGCCTTCCGGTTCAGAAGAGATGAATTGCTATAGCTGCCATCCTGCGGTCCCCAGGTTTCTGGGGACAGGGAGATGTGGGAGCACAGCAGTCCTCCCAGCTCCTTCTGACTCAGATTATTGCCTAAGAGGGCACTGACCTCAACTTGTTGGAGGTGGGTTTAGGATAAGAGCTGAACTAGCAGGTTTCTGTTATAATATTTCCGTTTCACCAAGGCTTCAGACCTTTAACTTTCAGATATGGAGGGCTGCCTCCGGTGGCTCAGGTATAGTGCCAGTTGTGCCACCCACAGCCTCTCTCCTTTCTGCTAATCTCTGTAGCTGTGCCTTTGCAGTCGTCTTTGCCACATACAGATCTACGGTGTCCCCATCTGCTCCCTTCCAGACCGCGTGGTGGATGATCTCAATCCAATGCTGAACTTCACTCGGAAGGAGGTGGAGAACCTACTGCACTTCGTTGAGAAGGAGCCGGCTCCCCAAGTGTCTTTGGACATAGAAGGCATCAAGGAGCCGGTCCTGCAGCTTGCTTGTCGGAAGTACCCTCACCTCATCACCAAGGTCAGAGCCCAGTGTGCTCACGGCCCCGGTACGGCAGCACCCTGCAGCGGAGGCCCGTCTGGCCAACTTTGGTTTCACGCAGGCAACTTGAACGACGTGGTTCTTTTCCTTCCCCATGCAGTTCCTGCCCCTGGTCTGGTCCTGCAAGCGCTGGGCTCAGCCATGGGGAGTAAGTTGCTAGTGTGTTTTCCTAGCAGAGAGATGGCACGTTTTAAAAACGTAGCCTGTTATTCCCTGCCCTCTGCCCTCTGGTGTGGAAGGCGGAGGAAGGTGGTCCAAAGCTGTGCTGTCAGACTGTGAGTCATACTCTCCACAGGACAGCGAGCCTGCGTGTGTCTGCGAGCAGGCTCTTCGCTAGTGCTGGAGACAGCCAGCCCTTCCTTTGTGGCAAAGCAAGGCTCAGTGTGCACCCATCAGTTTGCACAAAGACCGATAATTAAATCAACATTCTCCTCTGTCCCCAGGAGCCTTTTGAGCATGAGTCATTGCTCCTTAACCGAAGGGATCACAAGCTGACCAAGGCGGAGAAAAAAGCAGCAAAGAAAAGCTATGAGGAAGATAAACGCACATCTGTCCCCTATACCCGCCCTTCGTACGCGCAGTATTACCCCGCCAGCGACCAGAGCCTGACCAGCATCCCCGCCTTCAGTCAGAGAAACTGGTGAGTCTGCTGTGGAGCCAGGCCTACCACTTCCCACTGCGGCGCTGTGTGAACTCACTCTTTGGCTGCCAAGAACTGACGGGCTCTGCTCTCGGGTGAGGTGACCAGGCAGTCAGCAGCCCCGGGGTTGTATGTGGCTCTGGCGGGAAGAGTGAGCTGCTGGTCTTGTGGTCCATTTGTTTTCCTGGAGGTGCAGGTTCCCAAAACACAGAGACCCAGCCCTCCCGCACAGCCCGTCCTATCCAGAGCACCTTGGTCCTAGACCTTGCTAAGTGCTGAGCGCAAGGGGGAAGGCCAGCTCTTCATGGGCCTAGGAGTGCCATCAGTGTGTCCTGCTGCTGCTCACGGGATTGCATTCTGTGGCTGTGCCCCCGTCCTGAGTGAAAACCCCTTTCCTTGAGCAAACTTATAAAACGGTTCAGAACATGAGTGGGGAGAAGCCTGGTGCTAATGCAGAGAGAGGCCTGGCTGCTGGGCACAGTGTTTTGGCTGCTTTTGTGGTGGTTGTGACTAGAAGGGTACCCTGGGGAGTGGCCCAGGGGAAGCCCAATGAAAAGCAATGCAGAGGAGAGAGGGGTGTCTGCTTGCTTACTGATACTTGAAGTTTCAGAGAGTAAAGACCCTTAAGGTTGGACAGGTGGCCTCTCAAGTTCACCTGCACATGTGACATCACGCAGCCTTTCTCCTTGGTGAGTGGGCAAGTTCCACCCATTTGTCTTCAGCTCACACTTCCTGGGTTCTGAAGAACTTTCCCTCCCTGTGGCATCGTTGCCTCCCTCTAACTTTCATCTGAGGACGAAAGCATGGTGTGTGTAGATGGACCATCCAAATTCCCGTAAAAGCATCCTCCCACTGCCATCTGACTCCTTAGGCTCTGAGAGGTGTCACCCCTCACTGCCTCTGCCTCCACTGCCTCAGACCTGCGTCTGGTCTTTTGAACTGACAGTGCCCTGTCGGTCCTACTGCCCCTCCTCTGCCGCAGCTGTGGCTGTGGGCGGGGGTCTGACGGGCTCCGCAGGCTTTGCAGGAGGGAAGGGTGGCTGTTCTGCCGACCTCTCTGAGTGCGCTGTCCTTCTCTCACAGGCAGCCAACGCTGAAGAGCGACGAGAAGCCTGTGGCCAGTGTCCGTCCTGTACAGTCCACCCCCATCCCCATGATGCCCCGGCATGTCCCCCTGGGAGGTGGCGTAAGCTGTGCCTCCGGCACAAACCCAGCCATGAACTTCCCCATCAACTACCTGCAGCGCGCGGGCGTCCTTGTGCAGAAGGTGGTCACCACCACAGGTTGGGTGCTGTCCCTTTCAAACCACTTTGTTCACGCAGGGATTGTAGTGTTTATCAAACACCTCGAACATCCTAACATGGTGGGAGCAGGTGCTTACAAATAACTCAGAAGGAAAAATACAGAGAGATAACCATTTGAACCAACTTTTTCTAAACCAGAAACTATGAAATTTTAATTGAATCAGGGAAATTGACCCAGAAGATGATCAGCTTTCTGAGAAGTTCCTGGTTCTCAGAGTATTCTCTGTTAGACAGCTGTGAGAGGGCTGCGGGTGGGCCTTGCCGTCCTGGCTCTGTCTGCCCATGAAGGGGCCTTAGAGGAGCCGCTGAGGAAGGGGGTGGCTGTGGACTGGTTTCCTTCCCTGCTTTAGTCAGGCCCCGTGTGATCTAAATCTCAGGTCTGTGTCTTCACTAGATATTGTTATTCCTGGACTCAACAGCTCCACAGATGTCCAGGCGAGAATTAATGCTGGGGAGAGCATCCACATCATCCGCGGGACAAAAGGTGAGACTGACTGCCCGCCGTCCCCGTCCGGGCTGGGAAGCAGAATCCGTGCATGTGGGGAAGCACGAGGAAATGACATTTCCAGGAGCTCAGAAGTGTGGGCGGGGCCCCAAGGAGATCTGTCCGTGGCTTAAGAGAAGGGAGTTAGGGTCCCCGCATCCCTGTATTTTGACATTGTTTTTATGGAGGATTTGGGGGTTTGGAGAGACCCTGTTTTGTGTCTCAGCCTATTGATTGCGTTGCTATTGGCTAAGAATGCCTGCCTCACCTGGAACCCCCATAGACATTTCTCCGAAGCTGGTGCCATGGCTGAACCAGTTTTTGTGCTCTTGTGACTGTAACACAGTGCCATCAGGGAACGTGGTAGATACAAGAGTATTACTCACAGGTTCTGGGGGGACATTATGCTTGAGGGTCTCACATGGAGGTCATGGGGGAGAGAGAAAGAACATGGACCTGGGCCTCTGCCTTTATTAGGGTTCAAGAATGGGATGCTAGGCTTTGTGGGTTCCCTCTTTGTTGGCAAATTTAAAACAGAAGAGTGGGATTTAGAAGAGAAGGGAAAAGTAGGGTCAAAGTGTGGTCATTGGGAAATCCACTGCCTCTGCCTCCTTACAAGGGAGGTGACACTGCCAGGAGGAAATCTGGGCGGACGGTGGGGACTGTCTACGCCTGTCACCCCCGGGAAGTCAGCCTTCACTGTGAGCCCCGAGGCTCGGCGTTAGTGAGGAGGCCGCCCAGCCTCTGTTGGCTCGCAGTACCTTTAGGCTGGAGGAAAAGATGCTGCTGTGAAATACAAGACACAGGAGGTACCCGCCCCTTACCGGGCTCCTGTAGGCCTTGAACAGGGGTGGGTAAAGGGCGAGCTCTGCTGTGCCCCTGCCAAACCCAGCACTGCCTCTCCCTGTTCCTGTGAGCAAGAATGGGCTTTGCATTCTCAGTTGGTTCGGGGGGAGGGGGGCCGGGAATCAAAAGAAGAATATTTTGTAACGTGAAATTACACAAAATGCACATTTCAGCGTCCATAAATATTTTTAGACCATAGAGACACCTACCTGTTATGCTACAGAGTTGAATAGTTGCAAGAGAGATCTGATGGCTCACAAAGCCAGAATTACTAACTGGCCTTTTAAGAAAAAGTGTGCCAGTCTCCGGCCTGGAGCAGCCGGATTCTCCAGGTTGATAAAAACATGGGATGGTGGATTAGGGTGTGGGAATAGAACAGCTCTAGGGTTGTTCCCACAACAGAGAGAGGGTATTGAGGCAGGAAGGCGTGGGCCAGTTTCTTTCCTCCACTGCATGAGCCTTCCCTGGTGTGTGCCCCTGTGCCTGTCCGTCTCCCCAGAGGGCCAGGCTCCAGAGCAGGCCTGTGGCAGTGCTGGTGCAGTCCGCGTTTGTGGGGAAAGGGATAGTACTGGGCCACAGCTGCATCCTCACCACTCACTCCAGAGGTCTGAGAGAGGGCGTGAGGCTAGTTTTACAGCTGTTTCCCAGCCCACAGGCTGGCAGGAGGGCATGTCTGCTGCTCACAGTCTTCCTCGTGCTTCTTAGGGACGTACATCCGCACCAGCGACGGGCGGATCTTTGCTGTCCGAGCGACGGGCAAGCCCAAAGCCCCTGAAGATGGTCGGATGGCTGCCTCAGGTAGAGTGTGTGGCTCTGTCTCCCGTTCACCCTGGCCATGGGTTTGGTTTTGGTTTAGTTTCACTTGTAATTAATTGTTTAGTAAATAATGTGTACATGGTTCACAATTCAAAAGGTACAAAAAGGGGTAAAGTGAACAGTAAGTTTTTCTCCACACCTCCAGCCAGTCATTTCTCGTCTGTCATTTTCAGAGATATTCTGAATATAGGACAGGGATGTTTGTGTCTTTATGAACAAAAGGCATGTGTGCCTGTCTGGATAAAAAATGTGTGTGTAACTTTCCTCTGTGTTTTTAAAATGAATGCTCACTTACTGCGTAATCCACTGACTAGTCCTTCACACACTAGGCAGCCAGGGCTGGCACCTTCTCTGCTGTAGCTGTGCCTCCTGAGGATGTGCACAGATCCGTTGGTGGGACAGCCCCCTGTCCATGCTCAGATTGCTTGTTCCACATGCAGAACTGGCTCCCAGGCACGTGGCGTATCTGCAGCAGAATCCCCAGACGTGGGTGGATCACAGGTCAGGGTGTGTGGGCTCGTTAACAGTGAGGTGCTCTGGCCCGGCTCCCCTCTGTGGGAGAGTCCTCCTCCGTCCTTCCTCCGGGAGGCACGAGAGCTAGACTGCTTGCTCCCGCTCTCGCTGTGGAGATAGGTTTGTACACACAGCCAGCCGAGGTGATAGCGGGCACCGTGAGCGCTCATGTATTATAGCTGTGCCCAGACCCATGACTGTTCCTTCAGCTTGCACTCGCTTTTGTCTTTCCCTTCCCGCTATCGGAACTGTTTGCAAATCAGTTTTTACCTCACCATTTCACCTCGCCATTTCACACATCAGCCTCAGGACAAGGGCATTTCCCTCCGAGCCAGCACTGTTGTCACGCTGAGTTGCCAGCTCCCCATGAGGCCCACTGTCCAGGCCAGATACAGGCGTCCATCGTCTTCCACGGCCACGGCTTTGGTTCGATTTTCAGCCGGGATGGGTGTCTTGTTAGAAGCACGTCCCTCTTTTCTTCCGTCCAGTCTGACAGGGTCGGACTGCTGACTTAGCATTTCACGTCCATGACCCTGTGGAGGTTTACAATCAGGGAAAGGAGAGACCTGTTTCCTAGGGGAAAGTTAAGTGGGTAACTTTATACATCAACTATTTGAATCTTGGGGGACACAAAATTTTTTGTTCTTTCATGGACCTTTCCCCATATCTTCCTTCTCTCCCTGGCCATTTTGGTTCTCAGTCACCTACATTTTGTCCCCAGGTTCCCAGGGGCCTTCTCTCGAGTCTACGAGCAACGGCAGACCCAGTGCCTCATCACCCAAAGCCCCCGACCCTGAGGGGCTGGCCAGGCCCGTCTCTCCCGACAGCCCGGAGATCCTCAGCGAGCTGCAGCAGTATGCTGACGTGGCCGCCGCCCGCGAGTCCCGCCAGAGCTCCCCCAGCTCCGCCGCCGGCCTGCCGGGCCCCCCTGCCCAGCTGGTGGACGGCAGTGCAGTGCCTGGGGCCGCTCTCGGGACGGAGCCTCGACTTGGGAGCCACTGCCTCAACAGTTCCCTCCTGGTGACCGGCCAGCCCTGTGGTGACAGGCACCCAGTCTTGGACTTAAGGGGCCACAAGCGGAAGTTGGTCACACCATCTGTTGCCCAGGAGTCAGCCCGCCGGCGGTCCAGGAAGGGCCATCTGCCAGCCCCCGTGCAGCCGTATGAACACGGGTACCCAGTTGCAGGCGGGTTCACCATGCCACCCGTCTCCTTAAACCATAACCTCACCGCCCCCTTCAGCTCCCAGGCTGGGGAGAACTCCCTGTTCATGGGCAGCCCCCCCTCCTACTACCAGCTGTCCAATCTGCTGGCAGATGCCCGCCTGGTGTTTCCAGTGACTACTGACCCTCTGGCGCCAGCAGGCCCCGTCAGTTCCTCCTCCACGGCTACCTCAGTCACTGCCAGCACCCCCTCCTTCATGCTGAACCCCTCTGTTCCAGGGATGCTGCCCAGCTACTCACTCCCGTTCTCACAGCCACTCCTGTCCGAGCCGAGGATGTTTGCGCCTTTCCCCACCCCTGTCTTGCCCACCAACCTCTCCCGGGGCCTGTCTGTCTACCCGGGCTACATGTCCTCCCACGCGGGCTACCCAGCTGGTGGCCTCCTCCAGTCCCAGGTGCCTCCGTTTGACTCTCCCGAGGTGGCTGAGGTGGGCTTCAGCTCCAATGACGACGAGGACAAGGACGATGACGTGATCGAGGTCACTGGGAAGTAGCTGGGAGCCCTCTCCACCTCACTCAGGCCCCAGCAGGCTGCCACCACGCTGGAAGGCAGCCGTCTGGGCTTCTGAGAGCAGGGCACTTGGCAGGAGGGACAGGAAGAGGACAAGGAAGGGGGTGACCATAGTGGCAGGGCTCTGCTGCAGCTCAACAAAGAGGCATGAATTCCAGCAGAGCAGCCATCGCGGGAAATCAGGGACCCAAACGACTGGAGGGCCGAGCAGCCCGCCTCTTCCGCCTTGCTTAGCTGTCGGCTCGCCCGCTTGCCCCTCTGAGTGTAGGCGCTCACATCCCATCTCTTTGGGAACATTCTCTCCCAAGAGACCTGCCTTACCGGGTGACTTAGCTTGGCCTGGAGAAGGGAGGGGAGTGAGGGGGACGGGTTAGGACGGAGTGGGCAGGGAGAGCAGACTGCGACTCCACGTGGAGTCTTTTTAGGGGGTGGGAAGGAAGCAGACCAGGTATGTGTGGTGTGTGTGTTTGTGTGTGTGAGTGTGTATGTACGTACATGTATGTAACAGCAGGGATGAAGTTGGGGGGGAAAGGGAGGGGCAGATGAGGGGGAAAATGAATTTATCTTTTTAAAAATGGAAATGAGTGTGGTGGTTCCGGCAGTTAGCATGAACGTCAGGGTGCGCCCCACAGAGCCAGGGAAGCCACGCTTTCCTTCTCGTGGGTGGAGAGGAGCCGGGTAACCCGAGTCCTGGTTGTCAGCCACATTGTGTGGAGTGTGGGTGGGAGAGACGACGGGAGAAATGGGCATGGCCCCTCTGCCTGAGGCAGCCCTTTCCCGGGAGGGACGGCGGTGGGAGGAGCCTGTGCTGTGGGGCGAGATGATGGCGTCAAGGCTGGAAGGACATGTTTCACAGGATGGACCTGAGCCCCTGCCTGTCCCAGTGGCCTTGCCTGCCCTGCCTTCCCTGGTAGAGAGCTCAGTAATTTATTTCTTATGGGCAATTATTTATTATTTAGACTTTTCATATGTCTTTTTGTTGTTATTGATAGTGGGAGGAGGAGGCTGGGGTAGGGAAGGGGGTAGGAGAAGGGAAAGGCAGTTTTAAGATACCCCAGACTCCAAAGCTGCTGGTGAGTACACCCCTGAGGGTGGCGAACTGGCCATGGAAGGAAAGCTAGGCTTGGCCAAGATGTGCACCAAACAGCCACGCTTGCGGGAAGACCAGGGAACCCCATGTCTGGAGAATTGGGGGATGCGACTCGTTCCACAGAGATGGAAACGGGGGGGACGTGGAGTTTGCTATTGGAAAGTAAGTGACCCCAAATTTGGAGTTGCATCCTCCTCTGGCGACCTTAGAGGCAGGCTCGCTGTGCTGTGTGTAGCGGCTGCGTTGAGGGACACTGATTTCCCATTGGGAAATGTGTTGGCTTCCCCAGCTATCAGGTGGTCAGTGTGGGCCTGCTGTCCGCTACCTCTATCCTCTGAAGGCACATGGAGGAGCCTTCCTCTGAAGGAGCCTTAGGCCTGGCTTTGTCCGAAAAGAACATCAGCCGTTCTGGGTCGACTCTTTCTTGCTGCCAATGCCAGGGCGGGGCATCTAGGCTTCAGGCATAAACATTGGCTGTCTTCCACTTGGCGTCCCTGGCTGCTAAGGCCGCTCCAGGCAGTTCTTGGGGTGAACACACCATCTCCATCTTCAGAGCTGCACCCCTCCCCGAGGGTCCTCACTGGGCAGCTGCTGCCCTGCCACCCCTGCCCTGGAGGCAGTTTAGTCAGGTCACCCCTAGTAGCTGCTTCTGCAACTCTTTCTCCAGCTGATTTTCATTGTTGGGGGGCCTTACACACTCGGGGTGTTGTCTCCAAAGAAGTGACAAGGAGATGGCTGATGGGGGTGTGCATGTACAAGTGTGTGTGTGTGCGCGCTGTCCGGTTACACCAAGAATGGACTTAAGGCGCTCTTTTTCTGTTTTCATAAGCACCCTGTCAGACTCGTAACTCTCCTACTCATAGAAGCCTTAGATCTACAACTTAGCTATGCAAATTATTTTAGTGATTTAAAACTAGCACCTCCAGCCAGTGCTTTCTCTTTCAGGTGCACCAGGAGCGGAGGGTACGTGGACTCAGTTGTGGGCTTTCGGGTTGAGGCTGGTGCCGTGGGCGTGAGCTGCCCCAGACCTCCGGTTGGCCAAGCGCGCTCACACCTTGGGCCACAGTTGATACCTCCAAGGCCCCTGAGCACTGAGATCCCAGAGCGGGTGCGTGCGGGTGTGTGCGTGTGCGTGTGCGTGTGCGTGTGCGTGTGTGTGTGTGTGTCTAAGGAGGGGTCATTCTGTGTGCACCTCTAAAAATTCAGGCTCCAAGAATCCACAAACTATTCCAGCCAGGAATTGAGACTAGTCCCTGGAGGGATGGGCTTTGGAGGAACCGGGAAGGATCTAAGGCAGCGTGTGCCTGCTGTCGACCCAGTGCTTCCAGGGGCTGGGTCTTGCTTTAACTGGAGAGAAGCCATAGCTTCGGGAGGCAGACCTGGCTGGAGAAGGCTTTGTTTGATATGTGCAGCTTATGCTGTGTAGGCAGGTAGAGTGGGGTCACAGGAAATTGGAGTGCTACCAGTTCCATGTGCATTTTTTTAATGACCATGAAAACTCTTCTGACTTTCCTGCTGTCTCTTCCTGAGCGCTGGTAGGCAGTGAGCATGTGTGTGAGGGAAGCAGGAACTGTCTCAGAGGCCAAGAACCATGTTCTGTAGCTTCTTTGACAGAGACACTTGCTGGTGGCTCCCACCTGCCATCCAGGCCTGCGTGAGGGAAGTGGGATTGGCTTGGGTGTTTCCCCTCATCTTCCACAGAAGCCCCATCAGGCTGGTGCAGCCTGAGTTCTCACCGAGGGACTATGGTACAGCTTGATTCAGGATTCCCACGTGTAGTGATGTGCGGTTTCCTTTTCTTAGTATCTTTGTGGGTAAAAACTGAACAGAGACAGAGTAGCCACTTAAGAAAGTAAGTGAACCCTGTTGGATCAGATTAGATTTGGCCAAGTCTTCATCTCGGATTGTGCTTCAGCGTCTGTCTTGTCATCTCCCGCCTTCAGGATACCGCTGGTCCTTGGAACTCTCTTCCCTAGGAATCAGTGATGAAATTTTATACTGGTGACTCACAACTAAATGTGACATTTCCCACTCCAGGTCTGAAGCAGAGCTAGGGGGGTTTTGCTGATGGGTTGAAACAGTCAACCAAACCTTAGGCATCGGGGGCCTGTCACTCCCAGTCATCAGCAGAGCAAGTTGTCTGTTTCAGCCCACAGGCCTGGCCTTACTCCGGAACTGAGTGCTCGTCCCATGTGGGAGGTGTGGGGGCTTTACATTCCTTGTTCCTAGTGTCCTGGCCATGACCCCTTCCTCCTGTTTCCCAGCTCCTGTGATTCCTCAGTCTCCCTTCCAAACCATGGCGTCCTGCACACCTAGCTAAGTGGCTCTCTTGCCACCAAAGCTCCTGAGAGAGGGGCTCCATTGCCCAGTGGACCCCAGGAGACTTTGTGGCCCTCTGCTCACTGTTTCCAGGAACCTGCCCCTCCAGGCCTGTCTGAGCGCTTCGCTCTCCATCCTTCACCCTCCCCATCCATTCCCCTCCTACTGGCGCTTCTCTTCTGCCCTGTGCACTCCACTGTTACACCTACATGTCTGTCTGTGCCACTAGCTTGGCCCTGGGCCTTTATGAATACCCAAGTCTTACGATGAGCTTCCTGAGCAGGCAATGTCCAACTTCTTCGCTCTTCAGGGACTGAGCCTGCCTCCCCTCTCGGGCCTGTGACCGAGGAATAGGTGCATCTGAGTCCGGGCGAGGTAGCCAGGCTGGGAGAGATTTGGGTACTTTCTGTTACCACTACTGGGGTGATATTTGGAGGGGGGACCTCATACTGTGACCTGATCCAGGACCCTCCTCTGGGAGAGAGCTCAGCCCAGGTGTGTGTATGCGTGTGTGCATGTGTGCCTGTGAGAGAGTGTGTGCACATGCACACACCTGCTCATGTGCACATGAGTGTAAACTGACTTGTCTGGTTGTGTTACTCAGGGTGGGCTGGGGACTCACCAGAAGAATCCCCTTAGCCCGCTCAAACTGGTTTTTCCTGTACCCTCTCCAGAGGGCAGGGAAGGAGGTCCAGGTGGGTTGAGGGGTCGCAGTGGATAACCACTAAGGCCACATTGCTGTCAGGAGTGGGGGGGAGGTTTGGGGCCCCAGGGACCTGGCACCTGGCTTTGGTTTTCCGTCTTCTTTCCTCAGGACGCCCCCTGAGGCCTGGGATTGCACCTGGCTCTGAGGAGCACCTGTGGCTGGTGCTCAGCCGGTGCAGTCATGGGCTTCCCGCCTCGCAGGGCAGGTGCTCCTGCCCCAGAGACTGGGCAACTGGCTGTTTCTATGACGTATTTATTTTTACTTGTGTTTCATGTCACTTTTTTAAAGCAAACAGAACAATTGTAAGTCAGTATAACTGCCTAT